GTTGATAAATATCAAATGAGAAAACATTTTGGAATTGTGAATATAGCATGTACCTACATACACACACACACACACATGAACGTATGCATACCCACGCACATATACATCAAAGAATATTTTTATTCCTACTATATGTACTCTCTCTAAATTTTACTAAATGTGACCTGACAAGCTTTTAATGTGAAATAACTAACTTTAAAAGGACCATATATTTTTATACAGGCTCAAATGGTAATAAGTAATAACAATAATATTTCTTGGGTCATGTAGTCCTCTGTGTTAGTTCAACGCTTCTCTTGACTATATTGGACTCAATACATAGGTGCACTGGGAGGACAGATTCCATCTCTGGTATTGACTGACTCACCCATTCCTGCGGCCACATGGAAATTATCTAATCTTCGAGCATTTTAATCCCTTATGCTATAGAACGCATACAGCAATGCTTCCCGTCTACCAACTCCACAGGTCTATTTCAAAGATTATCCATTGAATATAACATTGTTCCTTGAAAATATAAATTGTGCATATTTTAACACAATAAGACAGTTAATCAGAGTCATAGAAGAACTAGCTAGACAGACAAAGGAGACATGGTGGGAATGGTATAGCATTGTGATTAAGAGCACAGGACAGGCTTTGAAGTCGGGTGAACCTGTGTTAATTACCAGTTCTGCCATTTATTACCTCTGGACAAATAATGCTACCTGTCTGAGCCCCTCAGTTTTCTCGTCTGGAAAATGGGTATAATAATATAACCATGGGTTGTTATAAAGGTTAAACACACATGATGTTTTAGGACAGTAGTTAGCACATAATACATGAGAAACAAATGACAGCAATTATTATTTCGTCTTGCACTGACTCACGGCTCAACTTTAAACAAAGTGCTAAATCCTCTGTGTCTGCTTTTGCAGCTTCAAAAAGAAGATAACATTTGGCATCTTCAGATGAAAGGTTACCAGATAGTATGGTACTTTGGATTCCCCTAAGATTAGTCCTGTTATCTTAGAATCACCATTCTAAAAATCTCAAAAATTAACCAACCACACAGGCCATGTATGTACCTGGGAGAAGAAGGCTGGGCTTGCAGGTTCTGGCATGAGTTGGTGTCTCTGCAGCCCATTTTTCTTTCTCAACCTTTTAAAACCTTCCCACTCTCTAATCCAGTCATTTCAAACCTGTTCAACTATGTGTGAATCCGTGAGAATATTCTTCACAATTCTCATACGTTATCTTCAATGAGAGCAGGCCCAAAAGAGTGTACTTGAAGAACTTCTTAGTGCAGTTCTTCTAAACCCTAACCCTGCTAGAGCCATGAAACAAGCCAGAAAATTCATTTCACCACCTACCATCTTGGAAGACCCGCTCCACGACTGCTCAACCCACCCCGTTCTCCAGCTCTAAAGCCATCAGGCACACTTATAAACCTCAGTGCTGATATTTGCTGTTTTTCTTGAATGTTTCTATTTATTTCCTCTTTATGTTGAAGCAATGACATATTTTTGGAGGAAATCAGACAACAATGACAGAATGACAAAGGTCCATTTGACAGTTAGTTACTACAGACCGATAAATTAGTTCCATGAAATGCTGCACTGAAATGAACTTGATTTTCACAATATAACAAATAGAATCCTTTTAAGAAACCAGAGATGATGCAATTGAAGTGCTACACTCAGTCACTGATCACCTTTTAAATAACATGGAAAAATTAGGTCACCGCTTATCTTATGTAAATACAAAGACAGTTTTAAGAAAATTAAATAATGGTAGCCAGCGAACTCTTTAAATGTTTTTAAAACCTATAAATTAAGTCAAAATTATACTCCACCCTTCCTCCCTCAACAACAATGTGCATGATTTCATATTAATCTTTATATTATCAAGGGGTTTTTTGCCAATATAGTCACATTTTCTCCATATCTGCATATGTGTGTGTGTTTTTTTCATTTCTATATTAGAGCATAAACTTTCCAAAGATTCTACTTTAGAAATGTGTTATAGAGAAAAGAACACAGACTTTAAAGCCAGAAAGACCAGGGTCAGATTATAGATCCAAAATTTAACAGAAGCCTGGGTGATCTGCACCACAGTTACTCCATTTTTTAAAAACGAAAGAACACAATACTCATTTCTCAAAGTATTACCAAAATTCAAGGAAACTGGGGATTTTACAAAATGCACAGTCTATAGTAGGTGTTCAACAGATAGTTTTTTCTTCCACACAGGACTTTTTACACAACAAGAACTCACTAATAGTTGTTATATGGATCAGGGCTGATCTTAGATGAAGGGGAATTGTGAGCACACGTTAAATACTTGCAGAACAATCAGACATTAACTCAGAGCCTAGCCTTCAATGGAGTGTTCCTTCAGCATCACTATTGACCAATACCAGGATGTGATATTGGTAGATTAGTTTTACTATGAACAAACCGATTTTTAAAGTTCAAATAAGAGCCCCTTCTCTATTTGATATAAACTACCCAAAAAATGACTGTATCCTCCCTTTAGTTTCCTGTACCTTCTTAAGTCACCCTCTCCTCCTTAATCATCACTCTGTTGCATAAACGAGTACTCTTCTACCTCGGAGGGAAAGGTGACTCGGGAGACAGCACCTCCCATTAAGATATAATTATACCAATTTAAATAAAACAAAGGGTCACCTCTTTTCAAATGACCTATTTCGTGTATGCTTTTATTTAATTTATTGCGGCCTCACAAATTCCTTTCTTTTTTGTCTTTACGCAGTCAATGCTTCTCAAACTTAAGGGTGAATAAGAATGATATTGTGTAAATTTTTAAAATATGATTCTCATGCCTCAACCAGAGAGGTCGTTGAAATTTCTGGGCTGAGAGCTGGCCTCATCTATTTTGAGTAAGCACTCACGACTCTAATGCAGGGGGTCGGTCCATGGGCCACACTTTGAGAAACAAACAGTGCTTACTCTATTAAGTAAAAATTAAAATTGTCCATTTTGTTTCATTTCCATGTTACTCATTGCACCTTCAGCTGCCTAAATGTGTGTAGATGTGAATGTCTAAAAATTCAGTCTGCTTATCTTTAATTCGTAACAGTCATGCTGTTTCATATAGTGAGCATATACCCCCAACATCGATAAATATATTTGATAAATATGAAGTATGGTCTTCTCTTCCCAAACCTCTTCCTGATAGTTTTCTTTAACCTTCTGTTGTGTGTGTGTGTGTGTGTGTGTGTGTGTGTGTGTGTATTTACAAAATTCATGTGTTGATCATTGCATGCTCAAAGAATAGTATAAAATAAGAGTGTGGACAAAATGGCAGCATCAGAAGAATAATGTTTACCTGCTCCAAATTTTTCTTACCCTTAAATTCTAAAAAAGTGACTCTCATTCAGGTGTAACGAGGGAGGAAGCTATCAGGAATATGAGTGAAGAGGGATGAATGTGCTATTTAATAGAACCTCCTGTCTGTTTCTTATATGCTTTCCCAGTAATAAATCAACGTCCTTAAAAAGAAATTATCTACTTATATCCCATTATTTCAATTATAACTCTTTCTTGAGAACATTCCTATAGGCACACTTACATCAGCAAATGTGCATAATAAACTTAATCTCTTTCCCATTCTAGCAGATTCTCATAACATTTCATATCATCTACACCCACTTAAACATAGATGTGTTTCATCTTTTATACAATCTTCAGATCAGGAGGACGCTTTTGTTCATTGGTTGGTTAGTTTTGTGTGTTTTGTTTTTTTCCCTAAGAGATAACTTACATTTACTCTGAAGTAGGATTTTGAAAAGTACGCACATCATTTGCTTCAAATTAGAAACTACGCTCAGAAAAATTCACTCCAATATCTCCATATTATAGCTCCTCTATATATTTAGAATTAAATTCTGACTTACTCAGATCTAGCATAGACAAAGCTTAGAATGTATTTAGCATGTTGAGTCTGTTAGAAGCTTTCTTGAAGCACTGTTTTCTATAGTAACATTCTTAAAGAAAATGAGGGAAAGAAGGTAGGATACAAAACCATCATGGATTATAAAGAAATACTTACAAAAGGCAGCAAGCCTTGAGATGTCTGACTAAATTTGTTAATATCTATAACTCTTTGTGGCTTCACTGACATTATAGAAGAATATTAAACTTCTTATAATAAGTATGTAGAACGAACTTTCTATCAATGATAAAACCCAACTGTTTTTCCTTATTAGATGAAGACCACAGATTCTATTGAGAGTTAAATATGTCTCAAACTTTTCTTCTCAAAGTAGAAATTAATCAAAAATGAGATGCCAATATGTAAATCAGAGAAAGTAAATTTTAATCTGAAGATAAGATTATTTTCAGAATCAAACTGGTACCCTGAAACCTTGTTACTAGTTGGTTTCTAACTCTGAAAGAAAACCACCTGAAAATGACTACGACTTACCTACTAGAGAAGTCGATCGTGGCCAGGTACATCATTGGATTTATTTTTAAAATCCGACTATAATAATTTAGTCATACTAACTTCTTAAATTGCTTCTGATTCTTTAAAAACATCTACAATTTTTAAATTTTAAACCACTTGTGGAAATAAACATAATTTTGATCAGCATAATTTCACATTTGTTTTTTTCGCTTGTATACTTTCTGATATAAGAGTATTTCTCCCTAAGACAAATAAAGCCCAAGCTAAAAATACATTCTGTTTTTCTTGAAACAAACAAATAAACAAACTAACTAACTCAAAGACAGCTGTCAAGCACCATGCACATTTACATTTTGTAGAACCCTCTAACAGTATACAGAAAAACACCGAGGGCTAGAACGTGAAAGGATAGGGAGCAGTAATACAGAAAAGGTAGAAATCTATGTCTTGACATAACTTCGTGTAAAATCTCAAGCATATTTCTCTGTATTAAAAATAATAATAAACTGAAGATGTACACATGTCTTGATGTGGCTTATGCCATTTTAAACTACAAGTTACCTTAAGACAGAAAGAAAAAGGGGACTCACCGATACATTGCTGACCAGCAAGGAAGAGTCTCGTGAAGACTGAGGTCTACGACCAAGCGTGTGCATCCAGCTCTATCAGTGACTTCGCAGGCTGGATTGAAGTGAAGAAAGAAGTCACTGATGATCTGAACAGAACCAGTCTGACGAGTCTTGACTAGTGTTGTGGGGACTGTTTGTGTGACTAGTAGGACAAAGACGAATTTTACAGGGAGCAAGAGCAAAAATAAATTATAAGCACTTTCTAGGAGTGAGGACTTGAAAACTATTGTCTTAAGACAATTTTTTAAAAAATACTAGCATAAACCAGATTTTTTTAGAAGTCAGATGTATAAATCTAGAAAGAAATTTTAAAACTATCTTGCTCAGCCTCCTCACATTTCCAGTGAAGAAAATGAGGTTTAATTAAGTTAAATGGCTCGGGCAAAAATCACTTGGTTAATGAACTGCCAAACCGGGACTAACACCCTTATCCTTGAAACTAATCTGACACATTTTCCACTTTGTCTGCGTATAATAAATGTTTTCCTTTGGTATTAACTATGTCAGCTCTTGAAAATGCATTAGAGATTAGAAAAGCATTATCAGCTTAAAATTATGTGGCATCGTTTTTTTCTAGAAAAGTCAAGTAGTTTACAAATATTAACCCGCAATTGACACAATATATGTCTTTCGTCATACTGGCATCAGGCATATCAGCTAACTCTGGATCACTACTGTCTTATTTCTGGAAAGTAAATAATGCATATTTTTTAAATGTGTGGTCACACACTGTATGCAAATATCTGTGTGTTTGTGTTAGGTTTAATCTTTAAATTGCCTTCTCTACTCCCCATAAACCAGATAGGTGTTTCTCCACAGTGCTCTCAAGGTGTCATAACATTTACCTCATTATTCTGTAATAGAATTTTTGCTTAATTGTATCTCAACTCCACTAGGCTGTGAATTCTTGACAGGCAGGAATTCCTAGCATATACGGGCTCTCAAAAATACACATGAAAAGGACAGAAGGAAGGAGGCTGAAAGAAGGGGTTATGGGTGATTAGTCTTAAAAATTGCCATTAAGGCCGGGCGCGGTGGCTCACGCCTGTAATCCTAGCACTCTGGGAGGCTGAGGCGGGTGGATCGCTCAAGGTCAGTAGTTCGAGACCAGCCTGAGCAAGAGCGAGACCCCGTCTCTACTAAAAAATAGAAAGAAATGATCTGGACAACTAAAAATATTATATATAGAAAAGATCTGCCGGGCATGGTGGCGCGTGCCTGTAGTCCCAGCTACTCGGGAGGCTGAGGCAGGAGGATTGCTTGAGCCCAGGAGTATGAGGTTGCTGTGAGCTAGGCTAAAGCCACGGCACTCACTCTAGCCCGGACAACAGAGTGAGACTCTGTCTCAAAAAAAAAAAAATCGCCATAAAAAAAACAAGCAAATCCTATTTAATTCTACTACGCATCCATTTAGCCAATGGCACACCTGAACAGATGCAGAAGTTGGGATTTGTGGTAAAGTGTGGGATTAGGCTACCAAGAGATGGAATCCATCACTAGCAGTAATTCAAGAAACCTCTATGTTAGGGCAGATTGTGCTGGGCTCTAGACCAGTATCTCCTTTTTATTCTCGTCAATATATCATTTAACAGTGATGAATAGCAAGTATATTTATTCACTTGCAATATACAGGTACTGTCTACTCACTCGAAAATTACAATTTAGCCAAAAATAAAGATGTAACAATAACGTAGTAAAAACTTCCGGGTTATGAGACTAAGCTGTTCTTCTTACACAGCCTTTAAAAAATGGAATCTCTGCCAATGAAATCTCTAGGTCACTTAATAATACTATACTCTATTTTATACTCACATTCTATGAAAATACTGATTTTTCTCTTGCTTTCAAAGGAAAATAGATTCTTCTTCAGTGTAACTTTTGGCCAAGACTTGTCAGACTCATTTTAGAAAAATCGCAGGAGATTTTTTTTCTTTCACAAAATCCGGATTCCAAATTTATGGCCATATGGTCCCGTGTGCTTAGGTTTATGTATAACTTAGAAACGTAGATGCAGAAAATGAGACGGCTCCCATGAATTCTTTTAAAAACCTTGTGAGTATAAGCTATAATTTACAGAAAACCAGAGATTAAGGGTGTGTAAATAGAGGATAAGTGTGGATGTCAGCCTAAAGATACTGAGATATAATCATGGCTGTCCTTTAAATATTAATGGCCTTTGTTCCAGGTTGCTCAAAGGGCATTACAGAATATGTCATTAAATTTCATGATATAGCTCACATTTGAGTAGAAATTTGAAGAATGATGGGGAAAGACAGAGGAATGAAACATTAGACTTTAAATTATACACTGAGTGAATCGTGTCATGTATTTAGGTATTTCTTTGATCGTTATTCTTGGAGTGGTAGGATATAAAAGCAAAGTGAATCATTTCAAAATTAATTGATCTATAAGAGAAAAAAGAGATCTTAGAGCAAAAGTTTGTCTTTCATTCAAATTTTTTTCCTTTGCTCTTTTGTTGAAATTGTAAATTTTTGTTTCTTCAATCCTTTTGTCCTAAACTATGATGTGAAGAAAATATTTTCAAAAAGTTATCCTTCTCTCTTGTGCGTGAATCAATTGATCTGTCTTCCCCATGCCACTCTGTGCAACGGCAAGAGCAGAGCCAAGAGAAATGTATTTGTGGACTTGAGTCTCTTGGAAACCCATAGTTGATATGTTACATTGCATAACTTGACCACAGGCATTTTTATCAGCCAACAAATTATTCCATAGTCCTTTCTACACTTAACAACATCATAGCAATGAGGCATCTAATGGCCTTAAGCTGCACAAGTATAGTGCCAGTGTGGCTAGTCATGGATGATTTTCATCATTATTTGAATATCTCCTAGCTTGTACCAAGTTCTTTTATGCCTGATAATACATAAAGCCTATTTTTAATCATCTGATTAACTTTGGGAAGCCCTTAAAGTTATACCTGGGTTATGTCTCTGTAATGCTAAAGCAATCATTTTATTGGTCAGTTTATTGGGACGTACATTACAGACTGGCCAATGTCGTTAAACTAGTGAATGAACCAGTTGCATAAATACAACTATCGTCATTGTGGATCCATTCGCTCTTATCACATACTGTTTGGAAGGTACCCGTGTGCCTCGACTTTTTTAACCTCAGAAAACAAAGAGCAACAATATAATTATTAAATAATTACCCTTTGTCTCTATCTCATCAAGAAGGGATCGTGTAAAAGTGCTGTCACTGCTCTGTCATTGACTCTGTTTTTCTTTGTCTTGGATTCTTAGCTAAAATATGATCTGTTTTCTCTATTCCTGGAGTCTGAGAATATAACTTTGAAGTTGAAGTTGGTGACAGATTTTTAAAGGAGGTGTATTTGTGTGGTCATGTATGTATACTTCCACTGGTTTAGCCTGATCCAAAGGGAGAACTCAAAGTAGCTAGACGAGGGGCCCAGTGTTCCTTAAATGAACTTTCTGAAGTGTTACTTCTCTCAGAACTTTATAGAAACAGAATAGGAGACTAGGACAGTGGCCTTGGAAGTCAGAATCTGCTAATAATGAGTGTGAACAACTCACCTGTCAAATCAACTAGTTCACCCACCAAACAAAAAAAAAAAGAAGAAAAAAAAAAAAAAAAGTGAACAACTCACCTGTCAAATCAACTAGTTCACCCACCAAACAAAAAAAAAAGAAGGAAACAGAATAGGAAATAATCTGAGTTCATATTCCTAATAAGGGTCTGGAGAGTTAGTATTATATGTTGCTGATTGAGAGAAGATCAATTCACTTTGTTAAACCAAAGAAGCCATTGACAGAATCTATATTTTGTCAAAACTGAAGAGCTAGATGAAATTTTACAATTTTGTAAAGTAAAATACCATGATTTTAGATTAGTGCACTTTGACTCCTTAGTAGATTTGGTGTAGCTTGTATTATTACACCTCACTGGTTGATTACTTGTGTAATGTATCTCACTGAGAGTACAAACATCACTGTTTTATTTTCTATTCCAATCAAGTCTTCCAACCATGATATGTCAAATCTCATTCTCATATTCTTTAATGAAATCTTGGCATGCACCATAAAGTTCTACTAATTTTAGTTATTAGAACTTCACTCGTGCAATTTAAAATATCAATTGTGAAGCTAACATAATTATAATCACCTTCCTTACCCCTCAACACAACCCGTGATGCTGGCTGCTTGTAGGAGAGAAGTTGAAAGGAGGTCTGGCTCTGAGACATCCCTTTTCCCTCCCCACTGCTGAGCTCCTCTAGTTTGGGGGTCAGAGAGGGGAGACAGGGTGATAGAGATCTTACATGATCAGCTACAAGTCCATGTTGGAAGTATCCTAGGTCTTTGTCTGGTTCAGTCCAGTTTTGTCTACTGTTAACAGAAGATTGTCGTGTTGAGAACTCTTTGCTGGTAATGTGCTTGGTTTTATGTAGACAGTGTTCATCTTTACTTCACTCAATGAGGAATCCCTCAGGGAAAAGGAACCATATCCACTTTGGTCCCTGACACCAGTGCATGCCCCTAACTCCCTCTCCAGCTGGAGCATCCACTCACTTACCAGATATCCTGGCCTTTTGCCTTACCTACATGCTGCTTTGCATACAGCCATGATGACTTCTCAGACCATCTTCTGAACCCTCCAGGAGCCACAGAACACTAGGATGGGGTGAAGGGAGAAATTTATTTCCTCTCATGAATAAACTCTGGACTACAGTACCTTCCTACTCTGTTAGCGTAAGCTACTCCAGAAAGCTCCTCTCCACCAGAAATCTCAAGACTAGCAGCTGTCTTTGATGCACAAGTGGCCCCCAAACTTCGAGTGCCAAATACCCAACTCCCCTAAGAAGACACTCACCACGGTGCTCTCCGCTAGTGGCTCTGGATGGACTTGTGTGTTCAGTGGATTATCCAGCCAGCTGAGTAACAAGGTGCCAGTCTCTGTTCTCACACATACACAATCCTTACACGTTCTCCAATGGGCTCCCAGCATTTGGCTTCAGAAAGAAAAACGAAGAATCCCTCTTTTCCCCTTAG